TATCTCATGTAATCTATGCCATTATGATCGAAGATTCACTTTGTTGCACCACTAACTATGATTCTACCATTTATTCTAAGTTTTCCACATATTAGCCTTCGTTGCACGCACCCTCGACCATCTTCATTGGTTCACTGTATCATTCTTTACTTGTCTTGCTTGATTAATGACCTGGATCTCAGTGGTTAAATGTCAGTTTATTTTTAAACAATAGTTAATAATGTAACAGATATGGGTGAGCTTAAAATGTCCTTCTGTTAATGCTTCCTTAAGCTAAGGTCATCTTCTATTAAGGACAATATTCGATAAAAGCCCCTTCCCAGTATATGAACGGGTTCCTACTTGGTGTTTTCTTATTGACAACTAAAAAAAAGATTTTAATAAGACCAATGGTATAGTAACCATATAATACCATTTGAGCTTGGACTGTATGATCCATAAGTAAGCCTTTAAAACTACTACTGTACGTTCTCACCAACCTTGCCAGTACATCTATACCTATATATATTACAGAAGGAAAGAAGATTAATCCAAATATGAGAGAGAGAGGAGGGAGAAAACAAGGAGATTATTTGAAGTTGCATATAAACCCACTGAGGGCATATCTGAGAGAGGGGGAAAAATCATATGTTGTCAAGTGTCCTGCACCTGATATCTGACCAAGAGTTTGATGGTATTAATCAGTCGGGTTGTATCTCATAATAGAAAGAAAATGGGTGTTAAGTAGCTAACCTCTCTGCTGTACAAAAGATCTATCTGCTAATGTAGAAGATGCTAATAAAAAAAAAGCGGTGATAAATAGCTAATTCCTTATGATACAGGGGGTGTATATTCTAATAACCCTTCAATAGACTCTGGAGTAAAAAATAAGGACTTTGATATTGGCAGACTGATGTCCTACTTTTAAAGTAATCTTTCTACTCAAGATATCTTTTTTACTTCTTTCTTTTTGCTATTATTTTACTGCTAATTGTTAAATTTCTATCATTTTAGCATGTCGCCCCCTTTTAATCACCGATTCATCTCGTTTAAATTTCTATAACAGAAGGATCCGGAGAAGGCACTGAAAATGACAACGAGGCAAACGTTAGTACAGATTTGGAGGTATTATTCCCTTTCTTCTATGAACATTATTTATGCAATCTGCTTCTTTTCTGCTTTCATATTAGTTAGATGCATTCGTTAGGTTGATTTCTGCTTGAGTAATCATCAAGTAGAGGCCACTGCCCACGAACACCTGAGCACAGAGCTCTAGTTCATTGGTGAAGTGGGATGTAGGTTTAGGAGATGTTCCATAATCAAAACTGGGCTGAGGTGTTTGTCAAAAATACTAATATAACAAGAAAAATTGTGCTGATGGTAGTTAACCTGCTGCAATCAGTGTGGCTTTGTGTGGTATGATGCAATTGTGAATCCAGCATGTTGTATGCAATATTTGTTGCCAGAACTTAAACCTTAAATCCCGTCATTTCGATATTTGCATTCTTATTGTAAGTAATGTTTATTAAATCCCAATCCGGCACTTGGGTAGTTGCCAAACATTTTGGATTTACATCTTTTGTCGCAAAATATATTTTCGTTGCAATCTAGGATTTGTTTTGCAGCACTTGTAAAATGAAATGTATTTTCTGAGTTGTTATCCACTAACATGATCATGTGGCACTAATTTTAGATTCTTTAATCATGGTAAGGACTTTCAGCATTTTACGTTGAATATGTTGGATTTTTTCCTATGAAGTGTAAATTCAATTATCATTCGCAATCACCTTGTCGTTAACCAAATTCAAAAATGAAAATTTGCTGCAAAGCCTGTTTTGCTGCAAATTCATTTCCTATCAACTAAACATTCCCTTGCACTCTTTTTTTACTTTCTTTTGCAGGGATGGAAGGTTAAAGGGACTTTTCACAGGTGTAGGTCCGCGTGTTGGGCGTGCGGGCCCATCGGTCGGAATTGTCGTCTCCTTCTATGAAGTAGTCAAGTATGTTTTGCATCAAAGACATTCAAGTTCGTAGAGAGACATCAAGCTTGGTCCTTACGTCAATTAGTTAGCTCAGCACGCCAAGGCTGTGCTTTGTTGTGGATTGCACGTCCTTTTTTTTTCCGCCTCAGATGAACTCTCTTTGTAGAGAACTAAAGGCAATCGCCCAATTTTGATATCTATCGAGATTTAGAGGACCGTAGATATCATAAGCTATAGCTTGATGTCTATGGAGATTTTAGGTCTACAACTTTCCGAAATTGTACCCAATTTTGTTAGAAAAATAAGAACACACATTTCACGGAATTTGGACTCCTACCTTGATTTTAAGTCTAACAAAACGCCTGTTTAATTTGTACTGCATTCATATATAGTTGCTTCATCAGGTATGAGCAGCGCGATGTTAATTCTCTTTGTTGGCGTGGAATATAAATTTCTGCGTTGGCTCGGATGATAAATTTTCGTGACGGTTCCAAAATTTATTGAAGACTACTACTCCGTACGGTCTCGGTTACTTTTTTTATTTTCCCTTCAATAAATTCAGATGCATCACTGTTCGTGTGTGTAGACGTCAAAAAATGCTTACAGACATCTAAATACCACTCAAGACAAAGAGAATGTGATAAACATCAGTATCTAAGTCATGGGAGATCATACAAGCCCAAAGGAAGCAAAATGATCTATGAATCAACACAAAACAATGTGAATTCACAGAACAATGCAAACTACAGCGTGTGGGCGCGGCAGTACATGGTGCCGCGGCTGAAGCGCGGCAACCCATGGTGCCGCGGCTAAGACGCGGCAGAACCACGAAAAAGGTGGTTAAAGGTCGTGGGAGAACTGTTTCAAACACGTATGAACGTGGGTGTAACTGCCCCTTTAGCCGCGGCAGTGTCGACTGCCGCGCTCTTTGGCCGCGACAGTGTCGACTGTCGCGCCCTTTAGCCGCGACAGCATCAACTGCCGCACCTAAAGAGGCAGTTGCTGATCAGCTATTTCTTCAGTTATCATCTAAGGAGGCTATAAATACCCCATATGGCCATCATTGACAGGGGTTGAGCATTTTCAGAGCAAATTAGAGCAGAGAGCCTTGAGTTTTGGTGAATTAGAGCAAGAAAGAGAGTCTTCCTTCTTCACAAACATCCTCAAGAAGTTTCTGGCGATTCTTATAGATCTAAGCTCTGACTTGATCTTTAGAAGAGTGAACATCTTACATCGATAAGATATTCGCTTCAAATTCTTACTTCGATAAACGAAGGAAGAATCATTAAACCCCTCACGGTTCAATCAGACTCTGTGATTCGGTAGTCCACGAGTCAAAGCGCTCCCGGCACAGGCAAAGATCCCACGCAAGCAGCGATCCAAACAACGATCCTGCGTTTGTTTCTCAAGAGTTGTAATTTTTATTTTGTTGTGTAAAAGAGGTCTTATAAAAAGACTATTTCTTTGAATTTGTTGTAATCGACCGAAGATATAATGAATTCCATGACAAAGTCAACTTTTGACGCAAACAGTGTGAGCATCGATCTCATTGTTTTTTGCTCTTAGAAAAGAAAAATGATACGGTCACACCCCACCTCTAGCTATAGTGCAGGGGGCTCTACTTGAGATTTTTGTGGGCACACTTGAGATTTTAAGCACTGTAGCTAGGGGGTGTGGTCAGGTGTGTACCGGATGGTGTGCCTGTAGTGCCTTCCCTTAGAAAACTCTCTTTATTTAATGAAAAATGGTATAAGTACACCCTCGGGCATACCTCCAGCGACACCCCCTCTAGCTACAGTGCAGACGGCTCCACTTGAAATTAAAAAAAAAAAATCTCAAACGAGGTCGTCTGCACTGTAGCTAGAGCAGGGGTAGCAGGAGGTGTGCCTAGGGTGTGCATGTAGCACCTCCCTTGTTTAATCATCATTGAGGTCATCACAAATATTTGTTTGGGTTTCTTGGTAGTTGGGCCAGGAGTTTAATAGAGTATCTCGAGTCAAGAAAAAGTTAGTTTCTTGGATAACAAGCCATGCAATTACAGAAGGAGAAAGTTCTAGAAAGATTGAAGAAAAAGGCATGATTGATGATGGACCACTTGGTCTTTATTTGGCAGCCTCACGAACCGTGATTTGGCCAAAATTAATTAATGTCCCAATAATGCGGGATTAAATGCAGGGAAATGGGTAAGGTGAAGAAATTAAGAGGGTGTTTAGCAATCTGAAAGTGAATTTAAAATATGTAAGTTACTTTTTTTTTACAAATGACTTTTACATCCATGTCAGCAATCTGAAAGTGAATTTAAAATATGTAAGTTACTTTTTTTTTACAAATGACTTTTACATCCATGTCAGCACGCAAGTGAAATACAGTGTTTGTTTGAAAAATTAAATTATTATCGAAAGTGCAATATGAAGATGACGTGGCAAAAGAAGATTAATTAGAAAATATAATTAAAATTATTTAATTAAATTACTTACCTTTTTGTCACTTTCATGTGACTTCACCATTTTTTTAGGGGAAGTCAAAATTGCATTAAATCTTATGTGGCAACTTTCTTACATCTCACATTCATAACCACTTACATGAAAACAAACACCTTATAATTGTTAAATGAAAGAAACTTTCTCACTTTCATCTTTCACTTGCATGCAAACAAACACCCCCTAAATGCAGGGAAATGGGAATCACGTAGTGAACAAAATGAGGGTCAATAACAAAATCATAGAATCAAAGGAAAAACAGCTTTTACCAAGAAGTTCACGATAACCATCCAAAAGTTAAAAGGGGGTGATTTTATGATATTTAGCCAGTACTTAATTGGTAATAAAATATAATAAGAATGAAATAAATAGCTATACCTTCATTTTACGCAAATAATTCTTTAGGGGGGCTTAGTCATCTAGAACTTAAAACTGGAACTGGGATAATTTGTGGGATAAATTTTTAAGGTGTTAGTCACATAGAACTAGGAAATGAGATATTTTTTTATAGTGTTAGTCAAGTAGAACTTTTGTAGAACTAGAACTGTATTATTTTTTTGGTGCGTTAGTCAAGTAGAATTCTACTAGAATTAGAATTGGGATAATTGGTTATAATTATCCCACAAATTATACTACCTATATATATAACCATAAGTTCTCCTCTCTCAAATTATCCCACACATTGGAAAGAATACAATTGGGAAAAAAAAGTGAAACCCCACCTCCCTCCCTCTTGGTTAGTTTCTCCGCCTAGAAAATTTTTCTGCCATGAAGTCAATCATCCGTTCATTTTTCTGTCTTTACTTTGTTTTTGTGATTTTTCTGCCATGAAGTCAATCATCCGTTCATTTTTCTGTCTTTACTTTGTTTTTGTGATGATTAGATTTTTTTTTTATTATTTTCAAGATATATTACTTTATTGATACCTTTTTGACGTTAAATTACTTTATTATTATTTGTTTGATTTAAGTTTTATCTCCACAACAATGGTTTAGGTTAAGAATATAGTGTTGGTGAGTTAGTGCTAAAGATATGAGGGCTATTTATGTTTTTTTATAAGTTAGAAAGCAACTTTGCGATCACATTGATGATTAGATGTTAAATGGTTAATGGTGATATCTATTATTATTAAATCGGCTCAGTAAATTGATTGGGATATTTATAGTTCTTCTGTCGATCATCTGTTTAGCGGCCATGGATGATTCCTGTGTACATTTAATTTATTTGCTGATTTGGTTTCAGCGATCATGATGAGATTGGTCCAAAGGGTTAATGGCTGAAAAATGCTTATTTTTCTTTCTTTATGATGTTATGAGATTTGAACTTCGACATTTATGATCCTCCACTAGAAGCTCCACGAAATGTTGCTGATGCAGACGATGACTCCGATAAAGAAGACGAGTTACAGACTCAACGAGCAGCTGTAGGAGCTTGAAGAAATTCTATGACAGATGTCATGTGGGATGATAGAAGCCATGTAGGATGATGGAAGTCGAGTCACTCTAGGGATTTAAATTTTTATTTATTTGTAAATTATTTTATTATTTGAGATGAATAGTGATGCTTTATTGTATTATATTTTATAGTTATTACTAGAATTTGCTTATAATATTATATTATTTTTAATATACAATTATTGACAATAGTAATTTATACCCACCATTACCCCCACCAAATTATCCTACCAAATTATGCAACTTCATAATATTATCCATCATTATTCCATCAAATTATCCTACCAAATTATCCCACTTTAAGAATTACCCATCATTGTTCCACTAAATTATCCCAGTATCAAAATATTATCCCACTTTACCAATTATCCCAGTTCTACTTAAAAAGTTCTAGGTGACTAACCCCCCCTTAGGAAAGATGAAACTAACACGTCATTCTAAACATCAAATAATATATATACCTCGCATGTTGTCACTTAGATGCGTATGATGGAACCGGCACGCGTTACATCGCTTACCCAAAATCACCAAATTCTTTTTCATCTCGAAAATAAATATACTTTCTTGACCTTGTTTTCGTTCTTTATATTTTTTATTTCTATTGATTTTTTAATTTACGAATTTATTTTTATTATGGGTACGTGCGTGGTGGCAGATTTAGAATCAATATACTTTCTTAGAGATTTCAGTTTAATAGCATGACATTTATTTATTTTCTTCTTTCTTTTCTTTTTCTTTTTTGGTCTAAATCCTCAATTTGCTTCATTTATTTAGAAAACTAGTACACCGGGCGCCTTTAATGCATGCTTCATATCAAAACATTAAGGTATTTAACCTTGATTCTTAAAAAAATACCACATGCCAATTAAATGAGACAAGAGATCCAAAAGCTGCATCTCTACCTTCTTCTCTCAATTTTTTAATTTATGGAGTTGTGAATTTAGATACAGGCCAAATTTTGAATGTTGAGTAGTTATTAATTTGTTCAGGGAATTTAGTAGATTTATTGTATTAATTCTCACATTTACCCTCCGATTAACTTTCAAGTTAATCTAATTTTTAGGGTATTTTTAGACTTTTGAAAATGAAACTTATAGGCCCAAAAAGATTTGCCTTCTCTTACAATGTGTGGGAGATGACTTAGGGTAGGAAAGAAAGAGGAAGGAAGGGGAAAAGTTCCCTTCCTCTCCTTTCCTTTCCTTACACCCCAATTTAGGGTGTGAAATTTTGGCTCAAAATTCCCCCTATCCTCCAACTCTGTTTTCCTAAATGAAACTCCCAAACAAGGTTAAAATTAGATTTCTCTTCCCCTCCGCCTCTCTACCCTCCATACAATGATGATACAAACATGTCATTAATAATATAATGGTAATAGAAAGATGAAAGAAGCCAAATACAAAAGTAAATAAGGGGATAAAACCAAGAGAAAGCAAGTAATAATTATGGAAAATTCTTATTGTCAATAATCGTCATCCTTATAATGAAAAGATTCTGC